AGATGCTGGTACGCTTTGCTCTATCGGTCTTGATGGTCTCGTTGTTTCCCGATGTGGTGAAAATGTGATCTTGATCTCGCGTCCGTAGATGCTCTTGCTGTTGATCGTCCTCTCGCTTGTTCAGGAAGTCCGTCTTGAATCGTTCTCAGATCTTCTGGTGTGATGAGCTGGCTCAGTTCTCTCGCCATCTCCTCGTCTCCAATGATTTCGCTCAGCGCCTCTTCTATATCATGTCTGGTCCTTGGTCGATCCTCATGCCTGGCTGATGTGAAGTCTTCCGGAACGGTTGGTGTCGATTTCATAGTGATGGGCTGAGGTTCTTCATCGGGCACTGTTTCGCTAAGTTATCTGGATAGATCGCGTTGAACTGATCTTGCTCCTGCTGATGATCTTGATTTCTGAAACTTGTGAATCGCTCCCCGTAGCTTTTCCAATGCTGGTGATGTTGTCGTTCTTGTCGCCCTGGGTTCCTCTCCCTGAACCAAGGGTGATGGTGAAGGTGCCAGTGCCATCGAACTACTTGATTCTGGTGGCGATGATTGCGGTGCAGGTAGATGTTCTTCAGTCTTCTCGCACATCATTTGTAGTGGTGACTGAAGGATACTTGGAGTGTCATATGGATCCTCGTCGATGAATGGGATATCGCTCAGGTCGGGATGAGTATACGTGCCTGGATTGTCTTCTGCACTTTGGTGCTTTGAGACCAATAGGAAGAAATGGTACTTGCTCCAGTCGTTGCCCACTATCTTGACCATGTTGATCGGCCAGGATGTGTTGATCTCGTTGCTGTAGTAATCCTCTCGATGATTATCCATGCAGGCAACTATCGTGCCATATGTGAACTCCTCAATACCTCTCACTTGTCGGATACCACATCCATAGATCATGCCGTCTACGCTCGTCATCTTGAAGATTGTGGCCCCCACCTGCATTACCAATAGCCAAGTCGGCGAGGGATCCTGAAGTAGTTCTGGTGGTGTCGTCTGTCCATTGAAGGTTCCAATGCGATGTATGATTCCTGGTGGTGCCCCTTCAAATCTCGAATAGCTGCGTCAACTTCATGGTCTGCTTCTCCTGTAGACAGATCTGGAAATCATCCAAGGAGGTGCCCAGGGAGTAGTAACTCAAGCGTCTTGCTCGAAGATGTCTCGTCGGTATTTTGCACGGTTGATTCTGATGTATCACGATTGCTGCCGCCTTATCCTTGTCCAGGCTGATGAACTCTGCTGGGCCTCTCCAACCATCCTGATATCTTCTCGTGGGTGTTCTCCAGATGTCTACTTGATCATGTGGTTTGAGCGATTCAATCCAATTCTTATCCTGGGCCTGCTGCCGGGTGTTGTTCGCCTTCGCGATTCGTTCCTCGATGATCGCCTGCAGTGCGTTTGATTTTGCCAGCAAGCGAGGTCGAAGATGTTGTTCTGTCGGGTCCGGCGTCAGGTCCATTGCGCTTCTACTAGCCGCGAGGGTCTCCGCCTCTGGATCGCACGCATCTCGAGGCATATATCCGAAGAGTCCTTGAGCGGGTACAGATCCTCCGTAGTTCATGAACAGGTTCGCCGCCATCGCAGATTCCTCCACGATGTCCTCGTCCGTGATCTCTGTCAATCCTTGTTTGGTAACGTCTCGCTTGGTCTTTAGGGCTGTGAGCTTTACTGTCTGGATTGCTCGTTCCGCCAAGCCCGTGGTGGTGTGTCCGTCAGCTCCACCAAAGACCAGCACGATTCTGTATCTATCTGCTACTAGCGCCACGTTGTCTGATGTCAATCCACCTTCCTGATCCGCGACCAGGGTCTCCATCGGTCCGAAATAGCGTATCCAGTGCTGAACAATAGCGCGTAGAATGTCTTGCCCCTGCTTGGATGCCAGCAAACAGGATATCCAATAGCGGATGCACTCGTCGATCATCATGAGCCAGACCTTCTCAAATAAGAGAAACAGATCCACTTGCACGCGTTCGTTGAAAAGCAAAGCCGCTGTCATCTTGATGGCTGGTTGTTCATGGCTCGTTGACGACGTAGGCAAGTATCGCAGTGCTCGGCCAGGCCTTTGCACAACTCGCGTATATGTGCTGGTAGTCCGAGAGCTCTTATCATGCACTCGACCTCATAATCCGGTGGATGGAAGAACTTGTAATGAATGCCCATGAGAAGTTTACGTCGCTCTTCGTCCGAGGATGCCTGTGTCAGCTGCTGGGCCAATTTTCCCAGATCGAAAGAAGGCTTGATGATCTTCGTGGCATTCCTAGCTTGATCTGCTTGTTGAGGTCGTGGCCGTGCATTTGGATGCGCTACTGGAGGTGGAGGTGGAGCTGCTGCGTCTGCTCCTTCGGGTTGAGGTGCCGCTGCCGCTGCTGCAGGTTCAGCTGATGCTGGTGGCAATGGTGCTGCTGGTAGACCCGGCGGTGCTGCTGCTGGCTGTGGTGCAGCAGGAGCATGGACATGAGCCCCCGATGCTGCCGCTGAGGATGGTGCCGCAACCTGCATGGATGCTACACTCGCTGATCCACCCGCAGCCTGTGCAGCTGCCTGATCATCTGGAAGAGGTCGAAACCGGCATCCATCAACTTTCGTATGTGGTACTCCTGATGCAGCTCCATGTTGACAACGTTTGCACTTCCAATACGCGGGTGTCTTCTTGATGTGTAGCATTTTGACCATGTCCTTGATCAATGCTCTGCAGAGTCCGACAGGATACACCGCGGCAAGTGCGGTACGCTTCCGACCATTGGTATATGTTCCTTGAAGTTCCGCGTGTGCTGTCGTACACTTGCAGGCTCTCGATGTTCCTCGAAGGCGCGATGTACTCCGAAAGAACGCGCGCTTCCTGATGGGTAGCTGTAGGTCCTGACTCCAAAGTCCGTGAGCACATTGATCTGTCACATTGTCGAACATCTCCCGCTGCAGAATGTCTCCTGCCAGTCGTATGTCCGTCAGCTTCCATATGGAGGATCTCGAAGGCTTATCCATGATAACTTGGCCGTTCTGCTTGTCCAGGTAGGGAAAGTATTCTTGAAGCGTCCATGTAGTAGAGGTCGTTCGTCATCTCGCCGATGTTCCAAGTCTGCTGGATCCGTGTTATTGTTCGACTGCGACCAGGGTCTGCAGTAGAACTCCACGAGAGAGAATGCTGGTTTGAAGAATGCTGTGAGTTCCAACAACAAGTGTTGATGGTCTTTCCGATGGAAGTCCCAACCGTACCTGTAATCGATGGGTGGTAATGTGATCAGATGTCCGCGATGTGCAGCCAGTGAAACTCCTGCCGCACCTGCAAAGATCTCTTGCATCAAGATCACCTTGTTGTGGATTCCTTGCATATATCGTAGAACTGCTCGTGCGTGTTCAGGTCTGATCACGGGTAGTTTAGTTGTCTTGTAGAATTTCTCGTCCATGATCTCATACTCTCGTGACATTGTCCGCTGTTCTGCGTTTTCGAAGTTGTCTGGCCAGTGGTCTCCTGAGTACGTTGGGCAATCGAAGCCTTTCCAACGATCATAGAATTCCTTCGCGTCCAAGTTCTGATATGATGCATGTACCTGCACTGGTTCCTCGCATGTAACTGTCATAGCCGACCGTATCTCACTCTGATTCTGCGCTTCGGGATCCGGCTGTCGGGAGCCAGCGACGTGCAATTGAACTCGAGGACGCTTCTGGTAGGAGAATGTCGCGAAGAGCTTCTCAATACGCCGTTCAATCAACTCTAGCATATGATTCGCCGTCTTCTCCGATTGTTTCTGATCCACATCGATGGGTAAAAGGTAATGTCCAGAATCTGCCAAGAGAGCCCGTGCCATTGCAGGTGCCTTCTCGTCCGGTACGAAGGCCAGGATGCCGTCACCGCTGTCGAATATGTCCTCAAACAGAATGCCCTTCTGCCGCAAAAGTGCGCTGTTCGGAAGGAGTCCAGGGCATCGAGCTCCATGGCCTCCAATGAGATCCGCCTGGAATGTCGATCCATCTCGCGTACCTTCAACCCATACCTGCCCCTTGAACTCTCCACATGATGCGCCTGACTGACCATTGATGCCAGTGAAAGTTGCCTTGGAATTCTGGATCTCATATTTCAAGTTGCGGGGTCGATACAAGTCTCGATTCCATTCCAGGAATGTCTCCGTGCCAAGTGGACCTTCCGCTGCTCCTGGTTCGCTAATGAGTCCGTGCCTAGGGCGTCCTTTCACGGCATGTAAGACCAGGCATGGGTCATCCTCGACAGTATTGACATTGCTCTTTTCCAGGAGAAGGTTGCTCCGATTCTGCGAGATGTCTTCTTCTTCGCGCTGTCGATTGGCATGTGTCATCATTGAATTCATCTCCACATCCATTCCTGATGACCACTAAAGAGTACTGCTTATTTAACTTCTGTGCCAATGACAGTGGTGCTGCTGATGAGCTCGAAGCCTGTGGCATCGGCTTCCTCTGTCTATTCTCCACTGGGAGTGGTGTCGCATCTCCAAGAATCGGTGTTTTGTACTCCTTCTTGCTCGCTGAATCACTTTTTTCCCAACGGTCTAGCAGATCCACTGTATCCCCTTCAGGTATTTCTTGTTCTGCCATTTCCGGTACTAGTCCCTGATCATGATCGAGGTCGATAATGTTCTGGCTGCCGTACTACAGGAGCCGTGCTCGCCGTCGATGTCGACGGCGATTCGAGATTTATCCACGATCCTGGGGGTCTTGTCGTCATCATGGTGGGTGCCGATGATGCTGCTGGGATTGGCGATGAATATACGGTTACGTTCGCGTAGTGCTTGCATTTTCCTTTCGACTTGCCAGATGATGGACTCGACGAGGGGCCAGAGCTTGCTGAGGCGTGTCTGTCTTTTGCTGGGCACCCATTTCGATCATGACAGCGACTGCCGCAAATATCGCATCCTTCCTGTCGTTGACTGGAGCCGCATTGACGATCGTTGGTTCCTCCTTTGCTCTTGCTCTTGCGTTTGCCTTTACCTTTGGGAAAGCGACGACGAAAACCTCGGCCTCGACTTCCACCACGACTCTTACCTTTCCGGGACTTGCCACGCCCCTTGCCTTTACCTCCGAAGTAGGTCCCGGTGTAGTCGTCATCTTGATCGGGTTCAAGGTATTCCGTCAGGTTGCCGTCCGTGTCATACTTCGCCCAGATGTCCTCGCACTCCTGGTAATGCCATTCTCCATCTTGGGTGGCGGTCCATCCGCTGTCTGCGTCATAACCCCACTCATACTTATTTTCCTCGTAGGCGTCATACCAGTCATCTCCTTCCGTGTTGTCATCCACTTCACCTGATTCGCCGTACCAGGCCCAGTCATGATGTTGACCTGCCTGGTCCTGCTTGCCCGATCTCATCATCAATCCGCGTAGGGTCTGGTATTGCGTGAGATCTCCTGCGATGTGTAGCTTAAAATCGTCCATTCTTTTCTCCGATAATCCACATAACTTCAGAAGAAAGTGACTGCGTCCCGTATCATTCATGATTAGGCCTCCTTCCTCAACTGCGCCCTCGAAGGCCAGCTCGAAATTCGCGATCCATGTGGGTAAATCCTGATGATGTCCTCGCTGGCACTCAAAGAATGAGTCAAGAACAACTCCAACTCTGTCCTGATCATGTAATTCTTATAGTGATCGCTGTTGTTCTAAGAATACTTTGACTCCTGTTTGTTCTGCTGCAATGCCTAGAGCTGGATTCGCTGGGACTGGTGGTAGCGCGATAGCCTCATCTCCTCGGTGTTGTACTCCATCGCGATGCATCGTGAAGCTCATTGCCGCCGTGAAAGGTGCGCCTTGAAGGCGCGATATGATCAATGGTCCGATGCGCTCATATCTGTCCTCATCCGTAATTCGCCACCATAATATCAGCTTATGCATATATCTTATGAACGTATATCCTCGAATATGTGGCCGCCATCCTGGCGGCACGAACTTCGTGAACTCCTCAAGTTGAAGGTTATTACCTCCTGGGCCTCCGCTGAACTGCTGCTGCTGATGCGCCATGATGGCGTAGAAAAAGTGTGAAACAATAATACTCCGTAGATATTCATGCGTGTTCGCTTGAGCCGTGATGATGTCGGCGTACTCGCTGTAAGTGATCCACTCGTGGTAGATGCTGTCGGCGTACTCGCCGTAAGTGATCCACTCGTGATTGATATGGACGGCGTACTCGCCGTGCGTGATCCACTCGTGGTCGATGCTGTTAGCGTACTCGTCGTACGTGATCCACTCGTGTGAATCTCTGATATGGAAATATCTGCCTGCGGGTGCGCGGGCGCGCGCTGGAGAGCGCGCGAGGGTGGGCCGGCCGACCGGGTGGCCCGCGGAGCTGATAGCTCCGCTACCAAAGCGGCCTCTTCAGCACTTGAGCCACAGTATGTTTACGATCAGTGGCTATAAAAAAATAGCAGCGCAAAGGTAGCTTGCGTCCAGCGGTGGCGACTAACAGATTCCTCTAAAGAGCCTCTGAAGTTCTACAATCTTAGTCGGATCCTGCTTAAAATCTCACTGGAGGAGGAGGAGGAGGAGGAGGAGGAGGGGGAGGGGGAGGAGGGAGGAGGAGGAGGAGGAGGAGGAGGAGGATGAGGAGGAGGAGGAAGGGGAGGGAGGAGGAGGGAGGAGGAGGAGGAGGAGGAGGAGGGAGGAGGAGGAGGAGGAGGAGGAGGCGGCGGAGGGAGAAGGAGGCAGAGAAAGGGGAGGAGAGGAGGAGAACGGAGCAGGGCGAAGGAGGATGGAGGGTGCGTCCTCTCGGCCCTCGCCCGCACGGATGAGCAGAGTCTCCACCGCAGCCTCGAGCGAGCGCCGCGCCCTGGCCTGGTCGCGGTAGAGCGGAGGGCGGAGGCGCTGACGAAGACGGGGCCGGGCCGACGACGCGGCCGACGACGCGGCCGACGACGAGGCCGACCACGACGCGGCCGACGACGACGAGGCCGACGACGACGAGGCCGACGAAGACGACCGTGCGAGGACGACGCCGACGACGACGAGGCCGACGACGACGAAGTCGACGACGACGACCGTACGACCGTACGACGACGAGGCCGACGACGACGACGAGGCCGACGACGAGGCCTCACCTTCGCTCATATTCATGTTGCTCCTGCTCCTCCTCCTCCTCCTCCTCCTCCTTCTTCTCCTCCTGCCTCTCCTCCTGCTCAACCTTCTCCTGCTCTTTCATTCGTTCGTCTATGCATTAAGGGCACGAAGGTCCTCACCCAAACTGGGGAAAATAGTCGAGAGGAAAAAGAACGCAGCGAACGCACCGTGCAGCAACGAAGCCAGAAGACTCCAGGCCGCTGCGCCGCAGACTCCCCTAATTTCCAAAACCTGCGCCTGCACCTGGTTGGGGGTCGAATGGGGGGGGCTGGCTCGGGGGGGCGGCGGGGTAAGCACATGTGTTGGTCGGCGGCTAGGCAGAGTGACTGCGCTGGCGGTGAGGCGTTGGACGATGCTCGAACGCGAATTCGGCCACCATGCGAGAGGGGGGAGGGAGGATGCGCCTGGCGATGGCAGGAGGGAGGAGGAAGCAGGGCCCGCTCAGAGCGGGACCAGGCGGCGGTGGGGGGGGCGCGGCGGCGGTGGAAACACATCGACCAGGACACGGCGAAACGCCGCCGATCAATCGGCGCTGGGCCCGCGAGAGCGACATCCCCACGGTTCCAGGCCCCGAGTGGCGACGAATGGGCCATTGGGGGTCGATGCTTGCCACCCCCCCCTTTGGCCAGTCACCCCTGTCATTGCCTCCTCCTACACCATCCTCCTCCTCCTCCTCCTCCTCCTCCTCCTCCTCCTCCTCCTCCTTCCTCGAAGGTGGGGAGCGGGCCCTGCGTCATCGGGATCTGCGCCACGCTAGCCAGCCGCCCACCCAGCCCCCCTCGCCGCGCGTCACCACGCCCTGGCCCTCACCATTGCCGCATTGCCCCTGACTTGGGAACAGGGGAGGTGTAGATCGCCCGCGAGGCCCCCAGACGCTGGGCATCCCTCTTCGTGAAGAAGAACTCCTCCCTGTCGAACCCTGAGGCTGGTCGGTAAGGCGGGCCGGGCGTTTCGCCCGACTTCCTTACAACTGATGATCCGGAAGCGATGTTCGCAGCAGCTTCAAAAATGGACGGCGGGTGGTTTTCAAAATGTGGTTCTCGCCTTAGCGCCGCGCACGTGCGTAGCAAAAGTCTGCAAAATATTGACGGATGGAGGGTGGACCGCTTTAAAATGTGGCTCTCGCCTTAGGACCGCGCAAGAGCTTCACGGATGAAGGGCGGCCCGTTTTCAAAATGCAACTCTCGCCTTAGCGCCACGCACATCCGCCCTAAAAGCTTGCAAGAGCTTCACGGATCAAAGGCGGTGTCTTTTCAAAATGTGGCTCTCGCACCAGCGTTCGCAGCAAGCTCAAAGATTCGCATAGTGAACGTCCACAACTTATGTTATGGCACGGTATCGGACTGTCAGGGCGCAACAGTCACGTTGATTCGTGGTGTTGAAATCCCAGGTATGGTGTTCTGGCGCGATTCAGGATCGTCAAAACACAACAGTAGCAGTGGTTCGCAGCGTTGATGTCCCAGGAATGGTGTCTTGGCACAGTTCAAAATTTTCAAACAGTTGTCTGCGAACGGGGCATTTCCCTCAGTGAAATTGAATCCTTGAAAGAGTTTAGTGCGATATCGTTGATGAGCCTCCTCAAACTCCTCCTCATCATCCTCCTCCTCCCCCTTCTCCTCTTCCTCCTCCTCCTCCTCCTCCTCCTCCTCCTCTGCCTCCTTTGCCTCCTCAGCCTTCCCCTTTCCACCGTCCCCGCGCTCACGTTCGCTCGCTTGTGCACACAGGTTTTCCTCCTCCTCCTCCTCCTCCCCCTCCTTCCTCTCCTCCTCCCCCCCTCCTCCTCCTCCTCCTCCTCCTCCTCCTCCTCCTCCTCCTCCTCCTCCTCCTCCTCCTCCTCCTCCTCCTCCTCCTCCTCCTCCTCTTCTCTCCTCCTCCTCTCCTCCTTCCTCCTCTCCTCCTCTTCTCTCCTCTTCCTCCTCCTCCTCCTCCTCCTCCTCCTCCTCCTCCTCCTCCTCCTCCTCCTCCTCCTCATCCTCCTCCTCCTCCTCCTCCTCCCCCCATCCCTTTCTCCTATGAAAAACTGCCACCTGTTGCACCCCGAGACGTGTCCGTAGGGCGGGCTGGGCGTGTCGCCTGAGACCTTTTTCTCACCACTTATGATCCTCAAACTGAACATGTGCAACAGCTTCAAGGATGGAGGGCGGGCCGTTTTCAAAATGTGGTTCTCGCCTTAGCACCGCGGTCATTCGTCATAGAAGTCTGCAACAGCTTCGCGGATGGACGGCGATCCTTTTTCAAAATGTGTGTTCGCCTTGACATCGCGCACATTCGTCTTAAGATAATTCAGAAGCGCCGCGGATTGGTGGCGGCACCTGTTCATAGTGTGGTTATCGCCTTACCACCGCGCACATTCGTTTCAAGAACGCGCAACAGCTTCAAAGGTTATTCCGGTTGGCGTTCCAGCAAGTGTGTTTCGACACGATGTGGGACTGTCATGGCGCAACAGTTGCGTGAATTCGCGGTGATGGAGTACCCAGAACGGTGTTTTGGCACGCTCCAGCATCGTCAGGACGCACTTGTAAAGTTGATTCGCGGTGCTGACGTCCCAAGAGTGGCGGTCTGACAGAATTCGGGATTGTCACACGGTTGTCTTCCAACGGCGTCACCCCCCTCAGTGAAAACGAACCCTCGTAGGGAAATCTGACGAGGGAACTCGGGGGGGAATTTTATTACCACATCGTTGATGAGTCTTGGGTTTCCCCTCTCTGCCGTCCTGACGCTCACGTTCCTTTGTTTGTTTGCGCGCGCCGCGCGTGAAGTCGATGTCTAGGGCGGCCTCTTTTGGGACGCGGGCGCTTGAAGAGAGGATTCGGCTCGATGAAGCCGTAAATTCGATCGCGCGTTCCTCCTGCCTCTGTCTCGGCATTGCTTTCGGGGTTGGGATCCCTGCGCTTTTCTCATCGAGCTGAATCGAGCTCGGCGCTCGCCCAGCAGCAGGAGCTTGACTCCTCCTTCGTGGACAACCGATCCGGTTCGATCCCCCCAGTACGCATGTAGGTTGACGACCGAAGAGTCGAACCTGTCAGATTTTCCCGCAGGCAGAGGAAGGCAAGGGAGAAGGTCGCGAACCCTTTTTTCCCATGCGCCGTGGACGGGCGGCGCGCACCTTACGCAGGTGCCTTGGGCCAAGGTGTCGGCGGTAGACGAAGATAGAATGGAGATATGAGCGGACCTCACGCGCGCCCCCCGCCCCGAATCCCGCCCGCTCCACGCGGGCCACGGACCCGCGGGAGACGATGGCGGGGTTCGGGAACAGAGGTGCGAGGCCCACTCAATACATCATCATGTCCGCCGCTCCTCCAAACGAAGCCGCCTCGGCTAGGGCTGAGAGGAGGGGTGCCAACCCCGCCGCGCAGGGTTGTTATGGGGGGGCCACCCGCCCTTAACAGGCCCAGGGCGCGCCCCTCAAAACGCCTCGGCACTCCAGGGCGACCCCCCGCCACCGCGGGCGACGAGGCTGGGGGGGCAAGGGGGAATAGAACAAGTGGGAAACAGTTCCGCGCCAGTAGCACGGGCGCGCGCGTTTCCCCTGGCGCGCCAGGATTAGCGCGCAGAGCAACTGCAATGTAAGAAGTAGTGCACTCAAAGTTGCGACGACAACTGATCGCGCAAAAAGAAGAATCACTCACTGGGCCTTCCAAACCCGAAGACAAGTGGCATTCCAACCGAAGTTGCTGCGACAACTGGTCGAACATGCCGCGCGCGATCAAAGCTGCTGCGACAAGTGATCGAATTAATACTAATGATAAAACGCGTCGCGCGAGGCGCTCCAGACCTCAAAATTGCGCGATGATCATCAAAACGGAAATCGCAAATCTGTGATAGCGCCATCAGAACAAGAGTCATAATAATCATGATTTGCATATGTCGCACTCTGCGCTGCCGGCTTCCCACGAGAAAAATGAAATGCCTGGCGCGAAAAGATTGGCGACGAGCGGCCTGCCTGGCCGCGTTCATGCCTGCGGTGTCGCAGAGAAAAGAACGCATTAATGGCGGGCGACCTGACAGGGTGCGTTTATGCCCATAAACCCATAATATACTCAACGATATAGTGCCATATGAATGTAGAAAAGCATTCAGCATGAAGATCTAAGAAAAAATATACGCACCAACATCAGGACCAACATGTTAGAATTAACGAAAACTCGCGCAATGGTAGTATGCAACATCCCAAATGCGATTACCACGGTCGTCGAACTTGCCGATCGCACGCGCAGTGTGTGGGTCAATCCGAATGTTCTCGCAATCGTTCTCGTCGACGTTGATCCATTTGCGCAAATGGCATGGCCAATGGCGGCGCGCGCTGTCCCTGTAGTGCTCCAGGCGCGCCGCCGCGCATCCGGGCGGCGTTTCCGCGCGGCGCTGCGGCTGCGCTCCGCGTGGACGGGTGCAGCCCTGCTGGTTGTGGCCAGCTCCTGCGGCCTCCGTGGCGGCGCCCTCGGCTGCCGCGGCGGCGCCCACGGCCCCCTTGCGCCCGTCGCGATCGGATTGGCAGCTGCAGCGGCTCCGCCAGCCCAGCCAGCGCCGCCAGGAGCAGGGCCGCCAGAAGACGCCGCGCCCAGCCCATCGCGGCGCGGAGGCGGAAGCGCGGGGGGCGGGGTGGGGCGTGGGTCGGCGACGGGAGCAACCCCTCCACCGACGCCCCTGCTCCCCTTGCCCGCCCGGGCCTCCGCTCTGAACTGCGCAAGCGTCGCGCGGTTCATGGAACCTGATCCCTT